GAGGAGGAGGGGGAGGGGGAGGCGCAGGCGAGGGGTTAGGGGAGGGAAGCTCGAGCAGGCAAAGGGCGGACACCGGCGGCATCTGCTGCTACTGCTGCACGACGCCAACACCTGAGCCGCCAGCTGCAGCACGATAGGAACCCCAGGATTAGCACCCACCTCAACGCTAGCACCTCCAGAGTCCACGAACGGCTGCTGCTACTGCGACTGCGGAGGCTCCTGCTGCGGAGGCTACGACAATGACTGCGGTGGCGGCGACTGCGACGACGGAGGAGGAGACAACGGGAGAGGCCGGCGGCGGGAACGGCACGGCGGGGCCCCCAAACGATTCAAGGGGGAAACCAAGGAAGACACAGGGGACGGTGCAGGTAGTGAGCTTGTCCGTGCCAGAGGCACGAACGTGAGCGAGGCAGCCCAAGACGTGAAACGCAGAGGCTTCACCAGGGAACCCGGTCTAAAGAAGGGTCGGCGAAACCTGCGGCCGCTGGGAGCGCGGCCAGAGGTTAAGCTGGTGAGCAGCGTAGCGAATGGTGAACGGCCACAGAAAATGGGGTGCACCGGCATGAATCATGGAGGTACGAGCCACATCCATGACCATACCGATGCGTCGCTCAGCGACCCCATTTTACTGCGGAGAGTCCGGCAGGGTGTACAAACGGGTGATGCCCTCCGCACGACAGAACTGTCCAAGCCGACTAGAGGCAAACTCGCCGCCATGGTTGGAGTGGAGACACAGCACAGGGAGACCACGGTGGAGACGTGCAGCTATGAGCCATGGGATAAGAACATCAAGCACGTCGGCCTTCCACTCCAGGGTGGTGTATCGCATGTAGTCGTCGACGAGCACGAGAAAGTAGCGCTTACGACGCGGTCCGGGGACAGGGGCTGGGCCCCAGACGTCTAGGTGCAAGGTCTGAAGGGGAGCAGTAGCAGGTCGAAGCGAGGAGGAGTGAGGAGCATGGTGTAGCCGGCCCTCGAAGCAGTGTATGCACGGTAGTGCAGGCGAGGGAGGGAGGGGGGGAAGCGACATCGGGAGACCTAGGACAAGACCGTGCTGTAACATGTGACGTAGACACGGGAGTGCGCGGTGACCTAGGCGGTGGTGCCACAAAAGGGACAGGTGGGTGAGCGACCGACACGAGCAGGCCGCAGCCACCTGGATAGACGCAAGGCCCAGGGAGGACGCGCCAATGTCCAGCGTAAACAAGCCAGACAACGGGTCCCGGGGGAACGTCGCAAGGGGGGAACCTGAGGCGGCCTCGGTGCAGACTGCGTACCGCTCATGACTAGGGAACGTAGTGGTAATGCTGAGGTCTTGAAGACAGTCGGCACCAACTAAGTTCCTGGAGAACGAAGGGACATGCAGACTGTAAGGGAACTTGAGGGGGCCGCTGGACAGGAGAGGGTAGTGTAGCTGCGAGCTACTACAGGACCAGACGAAGGGTCAGCAAGAGCGACAGTGGCAGGCACGGCAAGCGGCGTGAGTATGGCGCAGTCGCGGAAGAAGCAAGCAGACGCACCAAAGTCCAGAGTGAAGGACAGTGAAGTAGTAGCGGCAGTCGAAGAAGGTGCAAGTGTGGATCCTAGGCTAGTCAAAGCAAAAGGTCCTACGCCTGACGCAGCAGGGGAGTCTGAACTACACACAGGTGCTACGCCTAAGCTAGAGAACACAGGGTAATAAGATCCGGACACACTAGAAGCGTCAGCATACAGAGCATGGAGGGTAGAACTAATCTGATCCATATTCAACTCAATGATAGACACACCATGGCGCAGCAGACTGGACCAGTCAGGGAGGTCCAGGGCGGGGCCAAAGCGGCGACGAAACAGGTCGTCGAGGCGGCGGAAACAGTGGGCAGTCGGGTTTGGGCAGCGGCACACAGTGTCGCGGAGGGGCCCGGTCTGGAGCTAGTACTGGCAGGTCACAACACCGAAGTTGCCGAAAGACGCCGAGCTGCGAGGGCTGCCACCGCGGCCACCACCTCCGGAGGTACCAGGCCACCCTGGTGGGAGGCGGGCCCACGACTGGGGCTGCTGCTGCTACTACGACTGTGGCTGCTGCTACGGCTGAGGCTGCGCCTACTGCAGCTGCGGCTACTGCTGCTACAAGACTGCTGCCACAACCCCCTCGTCAGAACCACTGTCACCACCACCACCACCACTACCACCAGCACCACCTCCACGCCCTCCCTTGGGGCCACGACGGCCAAGGCGCCGGCGCTGCTGCGGGAAGACCACAGCAGCGATCTCCGCAGGAGAGATCGCTGTGGCAACCGCGGCGGAAACGTCAGCGTACGTGCACTGGGAGGGGACGCAGCCCTGAAAGATAGAGACTGCTGTAGCACCGCTCGACTGAGCGATAGTGCGCTGGTGGGTCTCGATCTCGGACAGGGCTGCGACAAAGGCGGTCAGTGTGAGGTCTCCAGGGTGGTGGCTAAGGAAGTGATTGCGGGCACAGGCCAAGCGGCCAGGCAGGTGCATGGAAATAAGGTAAAGGGTAATGCAGAACGGTGGGGGAAGGGCTATGAGATGGGCGGCAGTGCTAGCAGTGCGATAGCGCACCTCTAGTGTACGGAGGTGAGTGGCGAGGTCAGCGACCATGGGAAAAGCGGCTAGATCTGGAAACAGCATGGGAAGGATTAGGCAGCCTGCAGAGGCTGAGGCGAGCGTAGAATAGTGGGCAAATAAGGCATCGATGAAATCTTTGGCGTTCGCGACAGTAGTGAAACGCGGACGCTCAAACAAGGGAAGAGCATGACTAATAGCAAGCTGTGCTACAGCATCGCGGGAATCCGAGACAGCGCAAGCGAGCGCAGCAGCAGAGAAGGCCTCACGCTCAACAGAGATGGGGTCAGCAGGGAAGGGAGCAGGCGCGGGGGGGCGGGGCAGCAGGCCAGCAACATGCATGGCCAGAGAGTGCCCATCTTGGCGCTGACCTGTAACGTGGCGGCGGAGATCGACGAGCCAGGCGGTGAAGTCGATCGCGTGGCCCTCGGCGTCCAGGCGGAGGACAGAGTCCGCCATCGTGCAGCCTCTGCGTCACAGCTCCACAGCTCCACAGCGACTGTGGTACTCAGCGGCACGGCGGTACAGCGACGCGGCGATAGGGCGCTCCAGCAGGAAGGTCGGGCGGGGCGCATAGGGCCCAAGGCTCGAAGCAGGTCGGCGGGGCTCGGCGGGCCAGCGGGTAAAGGAGGGGCCGGCGGGGGCACGAGGGGAACCGGACAAGGGCCGAGCCGCACAAGGGGCCAGGCCGGGGCAGGAGGGGCCGGCCGTGCGCAGGAAGGGCCGACTAGGCGCTGGAGGAGCCAACCAGGCACGGGAGGGGCCGACTAGGCGCGTGAGGGGCTGACTAGGCGCGGGAGGGGCCGACTAGGCGCGTGAGAGGGGGCCGACTAGGCGCGTGAGAGGGGGCGACTAGGCACGTGATAGGGGTCGGCTAGGTGAGAGAGGGCCGACTGGGCGCGAGGGGCCGACTAGGAGCAGAAGGGCCGACTGGGCGCGAGGGGCCGTCTAGGCGCGTGAGGGCCGGCTGGGCGCGAGGGGCCGGCTAGACGAGGGGGGGGGGGGGGGGGGGGGGCGACAAGCGCGAGAGGGGTCGACCAGGCGCGAGAGGCCGACTAGGCGCGTGAGGGCTCGACTAGGCGAGAGGGGCCGAACGGCGCGAGAGGGGCCGACCAGGCGCGTGAGGGGCCGGCTAGGTAGGCGCGAGGGGCCGACTAGGCGCGAGGGGCCGTCTGGGCGTGCGAGGGGCCGTCTGAGCACGTGAAGGGCCGACTGGGCGTGAGGGGTCGTCTAGGCGCGATGGGTTGTCAAGGCGCCCGAGGGGCCGACTGGGCCCGAGTGGCAGTCTAGGAGCGCGATGGGCCGACTGGGCACGAGAGGCCGTCTACGCGCGCGCGGGGCCGGCTAGGTGCAAGAGGGGCCAACTAGGCGCGGAAGGGCCAGCAGACGCGGTAGGGGCGGGCGGGCGCGGTAGGGGCGGGCGGGTGTACTAAGGGCATGGTAGGCTAGGACGAGGGGCGGAAGCGGGTGGGTGGACCTACCTACTCATGATACCATATTAGAATGCTAGTATGGTTTGAAAGATGAGAGTACATGAGATATATGGGGTTGTGATGTACTCTCTAAGAAAACATCTCTAGCTAGCCTATAACTTCTACATATGAATATATGTATAAGTTGACACCCTCTTTCCCCTACTTCCCGCTTTCCCCTGCTTCCCTCTTCCTTTTACTCCTTTCCCTGCTAACCCTCCTACCCCTCGTACCTCTCCCTCCCAGAGTGTCTAGGGCCTCCCTCAATGCTGGCAGCTCTCCCTCGCGGCCTCCCACCCTCTCTGCCAAAGTCTCATGCCTCTCCTTTTCTCCCACACTCCCTCACTCTATCCCTCTTCCCATCAATCTCTCACCCTCCCATCACTCTACCCCTGTTCCCATCAATCTCTCACCCTCCCATCACTCTACACCTCTTCCCTTCAATCCCTGCTACCCCCTCTATCCCTGCCATCCCTTCAATCCCTGCTATCCTCTCTATCCCTGCCACCCCTTCAATCCCTGCTACCCCCTCTATCCCTGCCACCCCTTCAATCCCTGCTACCCCCTCCATCCCTGCCACCCCTTCAATCCCTGCTACCCCCTCTATCCCTGCCACCCCTTCAATCCCTGCTACCCCCTCTATCCCTGCCACCCCTTCAATCCCTGCTACCCCCTCTATCCCTGCCACCTCTTCAATCCCTGCTACCCCCTCTATCCCTGCCACCCCTTCAATCCCTGCTACCCCCTCTATCCCTGCTAAAGAACCCATCCTTCAGGGCGGCAGCGCGGGTGAGGGACCTAACCTAGCGTGATACCATCTCAGAATAATGCATTGACTAGAATGGAGGGTACAGGGTGACTTTGTGCTAGTGAGTTGTACTCTTTAAGAGCATGCACATATCTAGCCTATAATAACATATGCATATATGCTTGACATGATCAGCGATATTTTTTTGGTAAGTCTGACAATTACAGCCTTTTTTCTAGGGGCAAGGCTACAAAATCAGCCTAAACACAGGGGGAAATGATGATAAATCAGCGTGACCCAACCAATCTTAGGGCCTGGACAGGAGATTTTTGAAAAGAGGACCCCGATTCCGAGAAACAAATGCATCATTATTGGATGCAACCTTGGATTACCCATACGGTACTATGTCACCGTGTTTGCTATCTTCCTCATCAAACCTCCTACGTATCAACTTCAGCGTTGCTACGATGGTTGGAATGTGAGCCTCTACAGTGCTCTGGCAGCTTCCGCGGCTGAACACAAGGTGGTATGTGAGCGAGCACGCATACGACAGATGATTGTAGCACGGGTTCTCGCACCGGTCGGGTCGGATTTCGAGCACAGACGCCTTTTCCGGCATGAAGATCATGTTGGTGAGGGCAGCCCCATGGCCGGCGATGAATAAACGCGTCCGCCGGAACAAGTCCCGAGCTGAAAGGGTTGGAAAGAGGACAACGGGGACGTGGGGGAGAGGAAAGACAGGGTTAGGGACAAGCCATTCTACATGGTGGTGAAGCATATGCAAAAGTGGGCAAGAAACAAGGGCCGATAAAAAAATGCATGCAAAAAAGAAAACCACAACAGAGGCAAAGGCAAAGGTACCTTCCAATATTGAGAGCGAGCCAGTGAAGAGCACAATTCTCTTCATCGGAAAAACACTCGTCAATGCCATTAGGACATCGTCAAAGTTAGTGATGGAGCGCATTTTAACGGGCCGTTTCGCCACCAACACCACCCAATCATGGGGCAGGGCTTGTGCCTGTGCACTGGTAAGTGGGGTATGCGAGCGATAGGTCCAGCCAGGAAGGAAGAGGGGAATCCCCTGTGGGTGCAGCAGGTGGCGGCGGCGCAGCGTTGTCCATAAGGAGTGAGAAGGCTGACCACAGTCTTGGAAAATGGGCTGTGGAGGGAGGGGGGAGGAGAGGAAGGGAAAGAAAAGGGAGACATTATGCTTAATGGAGCAGGGGAGAAAGTGTACAGCAAAATGCAGAGTGGTTCTTTAAAGACAATGAGGCTACCACCGCATCTTCTTCCTGTGTTCAAGACATGAGCTTTCTGGACTTTGGATACTTTGTATATTTTACCCCTAAGTACAATGAACAGAATACCGAAGACAGAACGGTACCCTGTACCTGGTAAACTGTGTCAATGAACAGTAGATCTCCGGTTTCAACAGGTAGGGTCCTCATGTCGCCTCTCTCTATGCCGATAAGAGGAGCCCCCACTTGGTCGTACATCCACCACTGGAGAGGGAGGCGAGAGGGAAGGGGAGAGTAGAAACAGGCAGGGGTGGAAGTCGGGCAAAGGGGAGAGATTAGAGAGCATGCAGAGTAGGGTTCCCATGCGCTTCACGCTGCCGATAAGAGGAGCCAACACTTGGTCCTACATCCACCCCTGGAGGGGAAGAGGAAGGTGTTGGTTGCGAGGGAAAGGTGAAAGGGATGGATGATGCATGCAGGTCGGGCTCGCATGCTGCCTCCCTCCACTCTGCTAAAGGGAGAACCCACTTCGCCGTACATGATGCACCCCTGGAGGCAGAAGGGGAGGAGATGGAAGGGGAGGGAAGAAAACAGGCAACAATAAAAGTAGGGCAAAGGACAAACGGTGTGCAGGGATAACCCACTCGGTCGTACATGGGACAGTGGAGGGAGGAGGGGAGGAGAGAGAACGGGAGGGAAAAAAACAGGCAGCGATAATGGTGGGGCAAAGGGCAAAGGGTGTGCAGGGAGAACCCACTCGGTTGTACATGCGTCAAAAGAGGGAGGGGCGGAAGAGTGGAGGCCGGCAGGGTTGCTATTGGAGGCTGATGGTGAAGCTGGGGGAACAGAAGGGGAAGGCAGGGAAGGGGAGGGGAAGGAAGGGGAGGGGAGGGAAGGGGAGGGGAGGGAAGGGGAGGGAAGGGGAGGGAAGGGGAGGGAAGGGAAGGGAAGGGAAGGGAAGGGGAGGGAAGGGGAGGGGAGGGGAGGGGAGGGGAGGGGAGGGAAGGGGAGGGAAGGGGAGGGGAGGGGAGGGAAGGGGAGGGAAGGGGAGGGGAGGGGAGGGAAGGGAAAAGGAGGGGAGGGGAGAGAAGGGAAGGGGAGGGAAAGGAAAGGGAGGGAAGGGGAGGGGAGGGAAGGGAAGAGGAGGGAAGGGAAGGGGAGGGAAGGAACGGGGAGGGAAGGGAAGGGGAGGAGCTGATAGAGAGGGAGGGAGGAGGGAAAGTGACGGGGGGAAGTGAGGAGGGAAAGTAAAGAGGGAAAGTGAGGAGGGAAAGCGAGGAGGGAAAGTGAGGAGGGAAAGCGAGGGGGGAGAGTACCTGGCCGATGCGACCCAGAATGGGCATTTCACTCAGAATGGAAGGCAGCACCGTTGACGCCACGAGGAACGAAGGCATCGCTTCTATGAGGAAGTGGTAGAAGTTCCCTCCGGTGCCATAGCCCCAGTTGAACACCGCATTGACTCGCATCACCGGGTGCGACGCCGGGAAACGCGCAAAGCACTTGAGTCGCGCGCAGCCGTTGCGAACGAACTGATGCGACGCGTTGAAAACGAAGCCCCAATGGTCCACGTACACGTGGCGCAACCGGAGCATCTGCAGAGCTGTCGGGTCGCGCGGGTTGAAATCCTGCTTGTGTGAGCAGGATTCGTTACGCCTGCTGTCGTAGCGGGGTCGCGCGGGCAGCACGGAAGTTTTGTTCTTCGGGCAGTTCACGGGAGCGGGCAGCTGCACGTGACCCAAATCTTCCAGTCCCGGGTTCCAACAAGCAGCCTCAACATTCGGGATATTGTGGTAACCAGCAGCGTAACGGCTGCTGTTACTGCCTGTGTCACTGTTACTGTCCCAGTGACTCTTGCTGTTACTGCAGCTGCCGAAGCTGGGGCAGGGGGGGCCGTGGCAGGAAAATTTCACCCCGTACCGCTCGTCCGGCTCGTGAAATCCGAGCATCACGTTCGTCAGATTCCGCGCGTCCAGGGCGAATCCCAGCCGTTCAATAGGCAGATCCGACCGCTCTGGGTGGTACCTGAGAGGTAACAGTAAGCATGCGCGGCGGGGAATCGTGAGGAGGAATTCACGCTGCTAGGTGGGAACTGAGGAACCAGAGCAGAAATTCGCAACATTACGCGAATAGAAAGTCGGAAGTCGGAAGAATCTAAATCCTACCTAACCTCGTTTGGCAGCGCGTAGTTCAGCTGTCCCGCAAATTCCTCCACCCGTCCCAAGAGCGACACGCGATTATTCGTCGGCGCGCTGCCATCTGACAGGAGACAGAGGAGGGTGACGAGCGAGTCAGGGATTTGAATCAGGGTTTAGTACGGTACGAAATAGGGAATGGATAGGAACTAGTTCGATCTGTGCTTGTCTTCGTTGATAGGCCTTGCGTTATACGTAACATCTCTCCGCACGACCACACTGTTTTGGGATGAATATTTGGAAGCTCATACGGGTAGCACAAAACTGCTCACATACAGGTTCCGCGGAGGCGCTCACCTACAGCGAAGTATGTGCCAGGTGTGAGAAAGTAGCACACATTGTGTCACTTGCTGTGTCTAAAGAACTTCGCAAATTGACGCGAAGCGCTTGTGTACTGTACTCTGGAAATACGCCCCGGAGTGTGTGTGTCCAGACACTCTGGAACAGGAGAACCCCCTCCCCTCACCCTTCCCTCCTCTGATCAACAATGTCGAAATAAGCCCTTCACTCTCGGTGGTGTAACCCTAATCTTTAGGCCCTAGCGGTTACTACTAGCTCACAAAGAGTACCGTACTCCCAGATCTAAACGATAACGTTCAACATGAATGGAGGTACAGACGTTTCTTAGATAGAAATTTCACCTGAATCAGAACCGGCGACGGCGTGAGGAAGTCGGAGGACGAAGCAAGTGAGCACGACTCCTTGAAATAGTCGAAGCAAATTAGAGTCCCGGCGGGTTGCCGTCGGCGGGAAAGCCATGATAGTGCAGGCGAAGCACATGTCAGGCCGCCGCGTCTCACTCCTAGTAGGTAGTACTAAACCTTACTGCCTGGACCCTGTCCGATCCGACTGGATCGCGGTGTCGCTCAACTCGAGCGATGATGCTTGACGACTGGTTGACAGAGGTCAGTCACTCGTTGAATGGCAGGACGAGTTGTGGCTGCCTTCGCATTGGGCATTTTTTTCAAGCGGCTGACATGTGGCTGTGTACCTACCAAAAGTGCCAAGGCATGTTTCCGTGAGTAGGTCAAGAGTTGGAGGGAACTACGCGCACTGCCTGGCAGAGTGGCTCTGCCATTCGAAGAGTGGTTCGTAGCAGGACTCAAATCTCGCAGGTACACCTTTCCACCCTCACGTCCATAGCTATGCTGTCACAAATCACCTACCTTACAGTCCCGTTATGTGGGTCAAATTGTAACCATGACTGACCCATGAACTGCGGGCCGTTTGTGGTCGAGAGAAACAATGCCAGCTCAGCATATCCACCATAATGTCCCATTTGCCCCACAGAAACGGGCTCCAAACTTCAGGCCGCCAAAAAAAAGAAAATCGAAATCGACTTTTCAGTACACACGATGTCCGCAAAGTGCTCTGCCCAAAAACAATCCCAATTGCCCCTCCTCGCCCAATAGAAGTTTACGGGCAGTATCCGTTTCGAGAGAGTCCCCCGCGCCGGCTACTGTGCTGAGTATCATGACAGCGGCGATGAACATGCGGACAGCGACGAAGCAGTTGCAGCCTTCTGGTTTTCGCGACATATTTTCGTGCGGCGTCGCGAGGGCGGTTCGTCCAGGCCCAAATGGCCTTTCGCGTTTTTCGCGAAGCCGCGAAGGACACGAGGGCAATGGAAATCAACGGAACACCGCAAACGGGAAACGCCTCGATGACTCAGCATGGCATGACCCCTAGGCAACTGACTGAACTAGAGCCCTATTCGGTCGAAACAACTGCACACTTATCGAAGCCGCACAAATTGTGAACAGATGTCATGTTCGTGAGCTGTTGGTTGAGCTAATGAAACAGCACTTGGGATTGTTTCTGTTCGTCACAGTGCAAAACAGCGTAACCGTGGTTACATATGCAATCTGAACTTGCCACCCAAACCTTCCCCTATTGCGACAAAAAGGTTACCAACGAGCTCACCCTGAATCCCTCGCTTCTAGCAGCGAAAGCGGGCGAAATACAAATTCGACAGAAGTCCCCGCGGCTCGAAAAAGTGGCGTTCCTCTCTCGGGCTCAAGCTGTATCGAGAATCGACATCGAGTTTCCAGTCTGCATGAGTTTCGTGGAATTTGTCAGCCTCGTCACATTTTGGAGTGGTGATTAAGGACGGGGCTGAACCTCCGTTCCCACTTACACACCTGTAAGTATCGGATCCAAACCTTCCTCTGGCTCGTTCCTTCGTGAACAAGGAAATGCTCTCTGCTGACCCAGAAACGGTGAGGGTGCTAAAAAAACCGTTGCTGCCGCACAATTTCACCCTTTGAACCAAGGTCAGGTGCATAATTACCACGACCTGGGCTCCGGCCGGTTGGGCCAAGCTGCGCCAGCAGCTCTGCTCAGGACAGCAATGAAAATCCATTTTCCCAGCTGCTACAAAGGTGGCAGTTCTGGCACGTGTAAAATGTGGCAGGAGGCTTGAGGTCAGTGTGCACGTTCTCCACACAAGCAGCCATTTTTGCGATTCATGTGTTCACCTTTTGTTACGAATGGGCAAATGACAGTCCACTGTTGAACAACTGAGGAATACAGAAAGGGTTTTTAGGTTAGCAGTAACCCTTACTGGCGTTTTACTCTCTTGAGTCACGTTTCACCCTTAAACCGAAGGGTTTTCCGCGTTTCCAATCCCCCCAGGCCAGTTTTTTGGTCTTCGCGGTTAGTTTGCACCACAGAAAACCATGCGTCACAATCTCCTTGCACCGTCACCGTAGGGCTACTGAACTCTATGGGGCCAACTTCGATTTGCCTCATTTTATGCCCGGAGTCTTATTCAGGTTGGCTCACTTTTGTAATCTAAGCTAGAGTTCAGCAGAAATTTGTCGTGAACTGTTGTGGCAGTTAGAACCCCTCGGGGTTACATCCTGCCCTTGACGCAAGCTCGCGCATGTTCTTGCCAGCTTGCGTCAGCAACAGATTTGGCAGGGGGGGTGGGCTGGATTCAAATCGTCCCGCGCTCCGCTCGCAAAAGAATTTTCCGCGCAAACGCACGGTTTGGTTGGACTTCAGTTTGGACTTTTAGGTAGTCGTCAGTGTCCATTTTCGGCCAAAATCCGCTAAAACCTACACTCTCAACCCGTTTTCAAGCCGATTGGCTCGGTAATAAACGAATCCGCTTAAAGGGCGTGCCGCGTCTAAACAACATGTGAAAGTACAAAATAATTCGAAGAGTACCCGTAAACAATATTTGATACATCAAATGAATCAAGGCCACCCCTCCAGCCGAATATGCTGCTGACGCAATGTGGCACGATCATGCGCCACTTGCGTCAAGGGCGGGACGTAACCGCGAGGGGTTCTAGCTCCCACAACAATTCACGACAAACTTCTGCTGTAATCTAGTCTTGATTACAAATGTGAGCCAACCTAAATAGGAATCCGGGCATAATGTGAGGTAAATCGAAGTTGGCCCGAACTCTATGTTTCCTGCGATATTGTGGGATCTGTAGCGTACTGAAAATGACGACAACATTCGGGCAGGCCAGCTGGCAAGAAAAAAACTAAAACCCATAGGGGCGAGTATGCCATTCTGGATGGCATCAACCATAAATTCACGACCCTTTTGCGAGTTTAGGGTTGATGCCATCCAGAATGCCCCTAAGGGTTTTATTGTTTCTGCCCTCTACGTAAGATCAAGGAGATTGTTACACGTGGTTCGTTATGGAGCGAACTAACCTCAAAGAACAAAAAAACTGCCCCTCGGGGGGTTTGAACGGTGAAAAACCCTTCCGTAATAGGGGCTAAACGTGATCCGAGAGGATAAAAGATTAGTAAGGGTTGCCGGTAACCTAAAAACGAGAATAACGACTCAAGTGGCTAACGGTAACGAAATAACGAGAATGAGGACTCAAGTGGCTAAATGTAATGAATTAATAGCGCAGAATTCTATAGGGGAACGTGACTACATAATGTTCTATAAAAATGAGGACCTAGGGCTTATGTAGTGCTAGTTGACGAGGTTGAACATCGGGGGCTGGACCAGTCAAAGGATCGATAGTCCCGAGGGTGACGGGGTCAAATTGGGTTCGAGGCGCCTCGGTAACACATTCGCGGCCGAATAGGTCTGTGGGGGTGGTTTGACGCGAGACTTCAGTGCCGAGGCTGTGGACACGCACTGTGTTGAGAATAACCCTGATCCTGCGAAGGTTGCAGAAGTCTGCTGAAGCGACATATCAACGGAGTCTGCCGACACGAGCCCAGCAGAGAGGCCTGTTGATGAAGAGCAGATTTGACTACAAGGCGAGGCTCTGCAGGAAGTGGCAGAAGAGAAGTGTTGTTGGTGGCAGAAAAGCGGTTCTTTCGGAGTGGCAGAACAGGAGCGTTTTTTTCCGCGTATGGCTTCTACATCGACAGGTGGTTTTGTAGAAGCGATCTTGGCAGAGTCGAGAGTGTACAAGACCATCTGCCGGATTGGTACCTAGGGCCATTCGCAGAAGAGTTGTCCTCTGCCGAAGTAGCGCGCATAACACATTTATGAAAAGGACTCAGCAGAGTCGACTCTCGGAAATGCGTTCCAACAGGGCCTCGGGCAGACCGGCGCAAGGACCTGTTCGCGCAGAATTGCTCACTGCCAAAGATCGGCAAAAAGGCAATTCTGCTATCTCTTCTGCAATCGACCCCCTTGGCACAGAAGACATTCGGCAGAAGCACGGCAGAGAGTCATCTCGGACTTCACTTCTACGAGCAACCCTTTTAAGACATCAAGGACTTGGTTTTCTAAAGGTGGTGTTCCGAAAATGCGAGACATTTGCGACTTCGTAAGTTAACCGCAGAACCGATTTGGACTGAAAACGGCAAAATCTACCCGAGACATTGAGAAATTGAATACGTGACACACATTTTGTAACGGCGGAAATGTGCATAACAGCTGACAGTTTCACACCTGAAACTGTTAAAACAACTACTTATGGGTGGGTAAACATTACCAAGTAAGCATGTTCTGTAATTTTCACCTGCCATTGCTGACTTGGCTAAGCGCAGCTTAGAGTAGTTATGTAAACGTTCTTATGCGAACATTCTCTTCATGTTCAATGTGGTTCAATGTGGTTGTACTAGTATTTGCCTTGTGCACGATAATTTGTAATCTTGATTCTTGTAAATCTGTGTTCCCAAGCTTTCTCAAGCTACTCAGTAAAATATACAGTTCTGGAGGCTACCTACGGCAGGCACTTCCGCAAAAGCTCCTGTTATAGCATAAAACTCTGCACACTGTTCGCGGTACTCACTGTGACAAGCCTCGATAAGGATTCGTGAAATCCTTACATCCTCCCTCCTTCTAAAGAAATTACCTCCTTACATCGAAGGCCGAACTGTCATTAAAAGTAACCCCCGATGTGACCGTAGGTCTTCAACACAGTGACGAACGTAAGGATTACGCTGTCCTGACAAGGTCTTGGGCGAGCCAATATCCGACGACTCAGATTGGTCGAGAACGATCTTAACCGTTGAGCAATAATTACGAGTCAGCGTTGTCGGTGGTGAAGATTGTTACTAGTATCTGACGAAAGCCTTCAAATCGAACGGCTGTCGATGGCTTGAATTCAGTGAGGTGGCTTGAGGTTGTCGAGGCAATCTAAATGGTAATCTTGACGGACGATCTCACGGTTGAAATTGTCGAAACGATTGCTTTTAATCTCAGCCGTCGAAGATGGTCGAATTCTTGAGTCGACCGAACGGGCAAGGGTAAGTACTCCAGCGGAAGACTTGAACAGTGAAAACTGCCGACTGGGTAATTGATGACGACGCGTGGCTGATGGGAAAATCCTATAATGATGACTGGCGAATGACGTGGATGGTCGGATGACGAAGAGTCGTTTATCAATACCCTTGTTGCCCGAGTCAGTCACGTCACGGTTCAGTCACTAGAGCTTTCCGCATCACCTAAGTTTTTGGCACGGGCAACCGCACACCGTTTTGAATCACATGGTGTGCCATGTTCTCAGAGGAGACAACGGATACAGTGAAACTTGCCTGACAAGACAGAAACCCAAACCGCATGGTACTTCGTCCGCCGCCCCGCACCTACCACTCCGAATTTCTTCGCCAGCGGT